GTGAAAAACTTGAATGAAATAAATGAATGTAATTGAAGTTTCATCGTCCAGGTTGGGCACAGTGGCAAACACCTACTAGAACTCAGCTACACAGAGTTCAAGGCCAGGTTGTGTGACTTGAGAACCAGCTCCAAAAAAAAAGTACTGTTGCCTACTGAAGTTCTACATAAGATGTGCTTTGGCTAAAGGGATCATCTACTAATGGTTTGAACACCTAAAGACTTAAGCCTAAACCCTTAGTCTTGTACTCCAGACCCAAGCTTACGGCCTCTCTAAACCCCAACCCCTTCTACTTTCCAGCACTGACAGAAACACCCAAAAAGGAAAAAAACACCAAACTGAGGTCTGAGATGCCCTACACTCCAGTTTCAACTTTCTAGAATCATGACATCACTAATTCTTTGGGTTACTGTTCACTAAACCAAATTATTTCTAAGGTTTTTTCTGACTCCTTACAATTTAGCTCCCCCCCCCTTTTTTTTTTTGTCTTTTTGAAGCAGGGTCTCCCTGTAGCCCCAGCTGTCCTGGAACTCACTATGTAGACCAGGCCTGCCTCTGCCTCCCAAGTGCTGGGACTACAGGTGAGTACCACCCGCCCAGCTTCTTTTAGCATTTTATCCTTCAATGCAGACTTGTTGCATCCTTTCCTCAGTTTCTCCAGGTTAGCTAACCTGAAGCACAGCCAGGGTTCTAATCCTGCTCAAGATTTCTTCAGACTCACTTCGAATTTCTTTGGACTCTTAGGCCTCTTGTTTGGTTGAAAGGACAAACGTTGTTTCTTGGTATCCCTAAATGCCAAGCACATACATGTAAACTGACATTTTTTTTTTTCCTCAAGACCACATATTCTTGATTTTGCCATTTGTTTTATTGCAATGACAGTTATGCTGAAAGCTCTTCTGGCCCCATGAGTTTTCATTACTGTTTCAAAAGCACCCAGGTCCTATTGTACTTACCCTAGAAATTTTCTTTTGTGATAACAGCTCTCCCTAGTTTCCAACTGGTTATTTCTCCCAAACTAGCTCTCTTCTGTCCTCTGCTGGTATGATAACAAACAACAGTTTAATTCTGCTTGACTGCATGCTAAAATTTAAGGACATTGTAATTCAGGAACCATTCTAACAAGTTAACATAAGGATTCTCCCATGTCTTTTAAATTTGTAGGTGTGTTGAGAAGACAGTTAAATGGTAGAATTTGAGATATAATTCGCATGTTTATTTTGGAAGTGGAATTTTTCCAAATTAAAGTTATGCCTAAGGTGCCAGGGACGATTAAAAAACATTTTCAGAAAAGTGTTTATAAAAAAAATATTTCAAATTTTGTGCACTTGTAGTACTGTGTAAAGATAAAGTCCTTGGTAAATGTCTGTTAAATAAATCAATCAGTATCTTTTGGTTTATATAGCACTATTCTTATATAACTGAATTTTCTGTTAAAGGCACTCTAGAAGGACTCTTTGCAGTCTTTTTAAAGTTTAGAGGGTCTTAGAATGCCTTGTATGTGCCTTTAAATGCATGTGCTATCTGCAGCACAGACTGAGTTACTAATACACCAAGCCTCTCAAGAAGCAATCTTGTCTAGACAGACTTTGAATAACAATTTGTTTTTTACTTCATGAAACAGAATATTCTTGCTTCACTACCCCGACCCGAGTTAACGTATTATGCCTTCTATATTCATTTAGGTAATCATGATGAACTCATTCAAACTGCTACTGGAAAGTGTGTTTCAAAAGGTTTAACCAAACATCTGTAAAAGGCTGGAGTTACTCAAATGTCAGTCCTGCTATATAGATGCTGCGTATTTCCAACATTTGAATCAGAGCTCTTCAACTTTAAAAAAGCTTGTAGATAACCTGAAATTTTATATAACTATGCATGGTCAGTAAATGACATATATTTATATAGAAATAGCACCTAACATCTATGTTAGAAACAAATAATTTACAGATTTATAAAGCCCAACTCTATACATTATCTTTTATTTATTCTTATTATATATATGAGTGTTTTGCCTACATGTGTGTGCCTTGTGCCCAAGGAGGCCAAAAGAGGGTGTGGAATCCTAGAGCTAGGATTCTGTGAAACTAGAGTTACAGACACTTATGAGCTGCCATGTGGGTATTGGGAACTGAACCCAGGTCCTCGAAAAGAGCAGCAAGTACTCTAAGCAACTGAGCCATCTCTCCAGTCCTGAAACTGTGTGTTTTGACAATGCAGTGGAGATCTTTTTTAAACGTTGGAACCTCATTTAATTTTATGTCTTATAGAGTTTATAATGAGTAAAAGATTATATAAGCATAATAATTCATCTGTAAACCTAGAAATGTACAGCCAATTTTGAAAGAGATGTACCCTAGCTCAGAAAAATGTTATTGAATAGGTTAATGCTGTTGTAATGAAATGCTTCTTTTAATTAAAATTAAAAAAAAAGTCTGATGGTACGCTGTATCATAAACTTTTATTTGAATTTAAATGCCTTTTAGTACAAGTAGTTTAAAAAGTGTTTATGTCGTTACTTCATTTAAAGACAGCTGTTCAACAGTAGATAAAAAGGGAGTGTGGACTCAGCTCTCCCAACCTTATCCTCAGTAGGGTGACTGGGGATAAAATTAAAAAGAATGAATTGCTAATGGGTTAGAGGGCTGTCCTGCTGCCATCAGGTAGAGAACCCTCCTTTGCTTGGACTGCTTTTTACAAAGTAAACTCTTTTGGAGGTATATACAACACTTATGTGATGCCCTGTTCAAATGTAGATGTTGCTCAAACTACTGGCCTGAGGCACTGTACTATCATGGAAGGAAGCAGTCATGGGTTCCCATGGCCATGTGGAAATTATGGCCATTCAGAAGCAGTAGAGCTTTCTGGAAAAAAATTTTAAAGGGCTCAAAAACAAATGGCATGAATTATAATGTGCTTTTTTTTTTCCCTTTCTCTTCTTGTTGCACAGAGCATGGACATGATTCTAGACACTGCAGAGTTATTTTATAGCCACAAAGACATATATAGTATACAGAGTGTGGAAGAGCAGAAGGCCGGAAGAAACCTGGGTCCCCAAGGGCATTATGGAACTACAAGCAGCCTTCAACTGATGACTTTCAGATTTTTTTTTTAAGGTAAGAAAAAAAAGTCAGCTGGGTGTGGTGTCGCACACCTTGAATCCCAGCACTTACTTGGGAGGCAGAGGCAGGCAGATCTCTGTGAGTTCAAGGCCAGCCTGGTCTCCATAGAGAATCCAGGCCAGCTGCAACTACGGGAGACCTTGCCTCAAAAAGACCAAAAAAAAAAAAAAAAAAAAAAAAAAGAGAGAGAGAAAAGAAAAAAAAAGTCAGCCATTTGTTTAATCTGCTGTTTGGGGGATCTACTTATTATAGCTTAACTTTATTATAAAGTGAATATAAGTTCACAGGTTAAGAACCAAAAGAGAAAAGCCTATGCTGAAAGCATAGTTCTTGGCATACAGTGACCAAAAATGGTAAACGGACAATAGAGAACAAAAATAAAACACAGAATAAACAACTAGGGAAGGAAAGAAAAGTGGTGAACAGAAACTATGACAGGCTTGTAAAGAACTGAGAGCTAAACAATGCATGTAAGATGAGTGACCTACAGTAGATACTGGAACTCTGACCAGCAAGGCTAGCCTAAGCAAGATTTCCTAATGCCAAGAAGTAAAGATTTCCTAAGAAGGTTATTTAGAACATAGTGTGGCATTAGTTTCACTCTTTTGGACTCCTGCTTATGTAAAACACTGACAAGACCTGGGTTAATAACATATAGCAACAGACACAGGTAAACAAAGGGCCATTAAAAATGCTGGCATAGAGGCATCCAGTTAACTCAGATCTGTCTGGCACCTAGAAGAATATTAAGTCACTGAAAGAAAGCTATTTGGAGTCTAAACTGTAAGTTTGTCGGTCCAGCAAAATCAGACAACTGCATTTGAACAAATGGGTAAAGATGAATTCAACAAACTCAACTTGGAAACTACTATAAAGAAATACAATCAAAGAACACGTGAGATGGGAATATTTTGACTTGATCAGAGGATGATGCTAACTTATGCCTACTGATACCTGTGGTAATCTTGAAAGGATTTACCACAGAGTAGTACCTACTTCAATTCAGCAAGACACCAGACGTTGAAAGTTAGCTCCCTTCCCTTTTTAAATAGAGACTTGAATGTCAAAAACTGGTATGATCTACAGAAGGGTAACTGACAAAGACAAATCTGTACTGATCACCGTGAAGCACTGCTGAATGGAAACACCAGGGAAGAAACAGAGTAAAAAGAAAAGATCTAAAGAACAAATCAGAGACTACAAGTACCATATTTTAAAAACTGTAATTCCTAAGTAAGGTAAACAACCTCTCTGTGAGAGTGCAAAATGAAGCACCCACTGCTAAAAGGTGCAAAGGCAAGAAAATAGAATATAAACACATCCACATTTAAATAGTTACTGGTATGGTAGGTAAATGCCATTTAAAAATATTTTTAATGAAAAAGGATTCATAAATCAATTTACAGAAGATCAAAAAAATCAATGTTTATTACCAACTTTAACTATAAATAACTAAAATGGAAAAACAAAGCCATCTTCTCCTTTTCCTTCAGCATCTAAGTCTTCTGTTCCTTGCCTTTTGGAGAAAACATTACATTGTAAGGCTGCCGTCTTTTTGGACGAGGGCAAAGATCAAGATCTTCCTTAATGTAACCTTAAAAACAAATTATAGATTTAGAACACTATATTTGCAACATGCATTTCTTTCAGCTCAGCTGGACTTAGTGGCCAATGCCTGTAATCCCAGCATTTGGGAGGTGGAGGCAAGATCAGGAGCTCAAGTCCAGCCTGGGTTCCTTAAGATGATCTCAAAACAAACAAAAACAACTTCAGAACAAAAACAATAGGTTTCTTTCAGCGTACATCCATTAAACATTCACCTCATTCAATGTCTTCTAGGTCTACATGGCACTTCTGATTTTTGGCTGTGAGATGAGGATCTCAGCACTTAGCAGTAGTCTCCTCATTTATAGTAAGAAAATAAGTTGCAGTTATTGGGTGTTTTGTATACACTATCTCAGGTAATTCTCAAGATTCCTTAAGTAGCTTCCCCTACACTGACTTCACAGATGAGGAAATGGAGACCTGGGGAAATTGAAGAGCGAGGCTCTTGCCCAAGCTCTGTCTGATCCCAGTACCAAAGTTCTCAGGAATTTCCCTCTATTGCCTCCCATTGGTTTACAAACGGGGACAAAACTGCTAAACCCAAATTCTGCTACTACAATAAATTCCAGTGATTATCCCAAAAGACTTCTGTGGTAGCTATTTCCCTGAGAGAGAACCTCTATGCTCTCTATACTATTAAGATTCTCTGCACTGCTGACATACTCTCCAATCACTCATTTCCAAGGGAGGACTGTGCTCTGGGCCAGGCTAGTGGTACAAACACAGGCTCCAGGCACCTTGTCTGATTCCACATGATGACCAAGCAGAGATGTGATAGAAACAATTTGTATATTTGGTTAAACTATTTTACATTTAAATATCTGGAGCTCTTTTTTTATTTAAACGTGAGGAAGATTCCCCTAAATGCCAGTCACACAGTTAAGCCTTTAGAGTTCTCAAGAATAGCATAAGAGGGTGAGGCTGAACTGAAAGTCTAGTTGTTAAACTTATTAAAGGAAAAAATTATGTGTATGTGTGTGTCTGTGTGTATAAGCAAGTGAGTGTGGGTAGCCTAGGAGTCATCTCCTTGGAGTTGGAGTTACAAACTGTTGTGAGCTGCCCCCTGTGGGAGCTCTAGAAATTGAACTTGGATCCTGTGCAAAAGCAGGACACACTCTTAGCTACTGAGCTGTCTCTCCAGCCTATAATCTTATCATTAAACATTTATTCACTATTTTATCTTTTTCTGGGTAAAAGTATTAGATATTTATAACTTAAAATATTGGCCTAAGACTAAAAGGTTATCAATTAATTATGTGCAATACATCAAAGAGTCAAATTATAAAAAATTTGAGCATTATTATACTTTCCAGTCACATCTCAGAAAACACATCCCTTTTTCTTAAAACTCAGTGCACCGTATTTTTTAGTGCTGTGCTGCTGGTGACAGTGAGGAACAGAAATCACTATCTGAGTTTTTAAGGGAGCTTTGAAGATACACATTCTTGTATCAAATATAAGGGCCAAATCTGAAGGAACTAGCTGCATGCCAAGAGTCTAACAAAAATCCTTTTAAAATCTAGATATATTTGATAAACACAGCATTCTAGATAAACGAGTTTTCAAAATCCAAAATTCATGTTCTCTTTTTAACAATGTAACTTTGCTGCTAACTTCTGTAAGGTTGCTTTATTAAACGTCATTCTGTTAGGATGAAATTGCTTTCTGATATCTGAATGATAAACGAGGTTAACACACACGCAATCACATTAAAGTGATTATAAGTGGTGTCTAATCCCATGTAAATTAACAGAATAGTTGAAAGAAAGCCTTTCCTATTTAGGAATCTATTTTTATGTTGCAGAAGTAGTACCTAACTTGCAGCACAGAGAAAGAGAATTATGGAAAATGGCTTAATGTTCAGATTTATATCTACACAATATTTCTTTAAAATTCCAAAATACTACAATCTACATTCTTTACTTTTCTTTTTCTCTTGAGAAAGGGTCTCATTATGTAGCCTTGACTGGCCTGGAACTTGCTATGTAAAACCAGACTCACCTCAAAGTCCCAGAGATCTGCCTGCCTCTGCCTCTAGAGTGCTGAGATCAAAGGTGTATACCACCATGCCCCATCTGAAATCTATATTCTTACCCCTTTCCATACATGTTTGAGTGGAAGGAAAACCAACTTCCCAGAAATTCTCCGGTGTGCTGGGTGGAATGTAGCGAAATCGATGTCGTGAGCAGGAAGCCAGTTTCTTTTCTCTTTCTTCTGCTGGCATATCTGCATAATACTAACAATAAAAACTGGTAAGTGTTTTTTTTAATTTAGGAATAATAAATAGTGTCAGGCATATTGGTTATAAACTAGAAGCTAAAAAGCTATTTATTTTAAAACTAAACATTCTAGGAAACAAAACTCACTGATGACACTGCCAGTAATACTTAACAGACAGTATTACTAATAGTACTGAGACTGAAATGCTTGCTTCACAATTGAGAAGAGGAGCTTGTATCACAAACTTAAATTAACATACTGAGTCTTTCATCAATAAAGGCTTACAGAAACGATCCCCAACCCTGCACATTAGGAATCAAACTCAGAAGGACCTCAAGTATGTTAGGCCAGCATGCTACTGCAGCTCTGGATTCTACTTCTTAGCAATCTGGGAAGACACTGAAAGGTATGGGCAGAGGACTGGCATGACTGAACTTTTATTCTAAAAGATCACTGAGGGAAAAAAGATCCATTATTGTGTTTAATGAGAAGAGGTAAGAACAAAAGAAAATACGTACAGAGATGAGACTATATGAGAACTCTTGTCTTTTTCTTCAACTTTGCTGAAAACCTAAAATTGTTCTAAAAAGTCAAGTATTAAGGAAAAGGTAGGGAGTATTTCAATAGCCCAGACAGGATAAAATGACGTCTGGGTTCAGGGTGTTAGTGACGGAAATGGAACATTTTTTATGGTAGAATCATTAAGATTTGCTGAAAGATCAGTTATTGAGATGTGCAAAATGTAGTGAATAACTAGAGGATCTTTTGTTTAAAAGAAAACTAGAAAAAAAATGGGCATATAAGAGACTGAGTAGTGAAGTGTAGAACCTGAACATAGAACACGTTTGCTTTTAGACATGTGGAATTTGAGATCCTACCATACTTCATGATATATTTGGAGTAGACAAGGGATAGACTTACAAACTAAGCATACAGATGAACACCTAAGTACATGGGAGTTGCACTTTTAATTTCATTCACCATGGAGTCCACTCTTTTACCTTGAATAACTAGAAGTACCACATAAAATGAATGAAACAATCATTTTCAGTGATTAGACAGCAGTACAGAAAATGGTTACTAAGAAGGAAGGCAAATTAACAATGTGCTATGGGAACTCATAATATAGGGTGGATTTCTTTTTTGGACTGCCAAAAAGTTTTTTAAAACAAGATCCCAATTTATATTTCCACTGTGAGGGTTTAAGAACATATTTCCACCAAATGTTAACTGTCATCTATTCATATTTTCATGTGTAATTTTAATGTGCTTGGTTATCAAATTTTCTAGCTCCCAGTTGTTAAAAAGGAAACTTAAGTGGGGAAGGGTTAGATGTTGAGGTGGGCACCTGACAGCTAATGGGTAACAGGACAAAAAATAAAAGCAGCACATTTTAAGATAACAAAGAACCTGTCTAGGACGATTTATGAACAGGGCAATTAGTACTAATGACTTCAGTTTAAGACAGTCAATATACAAAAGGAAAAATATATGTTCTAAGGATGAAGGAAACTTACCACATTTTCTCTAGGAAGTAAAATATGTGAGGGAAAAAATAGCACTTACAGTAGTACTATTATTTTTTAAAACTATGAGCGTATCTAATTCTTGAGAACAATAGTGAAAAAGAATAAATGTTAAAGCTTCCTATTGAATTATCAAAATTTGCCCCTAACCCTAAAAATTAGGTTAGGTCTCTGATTCACTTGATGAGAGAAATTAGAGGCTTTAATTTTCATCTCTTTATATTTGCTTACTAACATAGACCGGCTACAGTCAGTATATTCTTCATTTCTTCAGTTATTGTTGGCTCAAACAAGGTTTCCAACTATAAATATGGTTTGTAGCTCTGATTTTTAAATCATGACTTTATGATCCATAGTCATATTTTTAAAAAGTATTTACATTAGTACTTACAATTTCGCATTCCTTACATGTGTGCCCAAGCAATTTTCTTCTCTCTTCTTTTTTCCGAATCACCTCAATATGAGGAAAATTTTGTATGCTAGCATCTCTGGAGGAAGGGAAAGGAATTTAATTTAAAATTAATCTATTTGTTATTATAAAAATCTTTGGTATAAAATCTGAATTAAAAATATGAGAACTCAGAAGAGAAAGAGTCCCCAAAACACTCTCCCTCTCTTAATGATTCCCTTTATAGTTTCATGACCTACACACGCATACATATAAATTTAAATCTAGGTTCTTCCTCTAAGGAGCCATGTGTCTCCCTGAATCTGTCTTGTTTAGATTGACATTATGATCTTCAGTTCTATCTATTTTCCTACAAATGTCATGATTTCATTTTTCTGCATAGCTGAGTAAAATTCCATTATGGATATATACCATATTTTCCTTATCTATTCACCTGCTTACAGACAATAGCTAGTTTCATACCTTTAGGGACTGTGAGTAGAGCAGTAGTAACAAGGACACGCAAGTATGTCTGTGGCTGAACTTAAGGAGTCCTTAAGTACATATCCAGGAGTGGTACAGCAGGGTCATATGGTATTAATAGTTCCTTAGTTTCTTGGGAAGCCTCCATAGTGAGTCACATTGTGGCTGCACCAATTTATGTTCCCACCAGCTGTTTATTAGGGTTCTTCTTTGCCCATGTCCTTGTTAGCATTTGTTAGCATCAGTTTTCATGATCATTGTTATTCTGACTGGGGTGAAATGGAAATCTCAAAGAAATTTAAATTTGCATTTCATTGATGGTTAAGTAAATTCAAAATTTTTTCCTCAAATATTTATTGGTCATTTGTATTTCTTTTTTAGGGACTTGTCTATGGAGTTCATTGGCCCATTATTAACTGGAAGATCTGGGTTTTCGGTGTTTAACTTTTGTGGTGCTTTATACATAGTAGACATTAACTTTCTGTCTGATGCATACTTTATGCCAAGTGTTTTTATAATTATTTTTCTAATCAACAGGTTCTCTCTGACTGGTTGAAAATAAGGAGGAGGTAAAATATAACAGTAAAAATGAATTCTATATTAAACTCAGAAGTTGGTATTGTTATAACATCAGCCTAGAAAAAGTACTACCAAGAACCTAGACTTCAGGGCTAATTTATACTCTTCTACAAAGAACAGATTCATCTTTGTGTCATTTGTCATTATGCCCCCCCCTTTTTTTCTGCTTTTACCCACCCTAAATTCCCCAAAGTATCAGGCACTGTTGTCATTTGTGTTTGACTTTAAAGAGAATCGGATCTTATTGTGAAGCACTAGAATCCTAAAAGGATCAAGGCCACTGAGATACAGATCCATGTGGCAGGGTTAACTTGCTGTGAAGTGCTTTGGGAAGAACAAAAATAACCAGGAAGGACAAATCTTAAAAATTAATATATTCACCCAGCTTTAAGAAGTACAACATAGAAAAAAAAAAATCTTAGAAGATACTTTAGTGTTATGAGACTGCACATATATTTTGTTTCTAACAGAAACAGCCTCAGAGAGCTTAAACAGTCTGATTCTGAAAAACTGACTTTTAAAATGATTTTTCTTGAGGACCATCTACTCTTCTGAATATTTGGATCTCATGCCCCTTTAGTTGGCAAGCATTTTTCTTCAAAAGAAATTTTAATTACTCAATTTCCAATTATTCTGAGTTACAGGTCCTTTTTGTGTTTTAATTCAAGAACCCTCATCGCTAGAGCAATGTGTGAATTAAAAAAGGGAGGGCATGAAAAGATGGATAACATATTGCCAACACTGAATATTGTTTCAAAGAATTTATGAAGTATAGGCTTATGGAGAACCCATTTTGGCTTTATCCTTTCCTCTGAGTATTATGTATTTCTAACGCAGCAGGAAATTCATTAGGAGACTGGCATCTACAAGCAGACCCCAACTAAAGCATCACTTAAAAAGTTAGTGAGCTTCATAACTGACACAACACAATGCACCTTTAACAGGTATGAAATTTAATGTCTACTTGACAGAACCTAGAATTACCTAGAAGGCACACCTCAAGCCATACCTGGGAGGGACTATCCAGATTAGGTTAGCTCTGGGAAGTCTGGAGCAGGAATTAGGTTGACTGAGGTAGGAAGACCCACCTTAACTTATGGTACGATGGAGGATGGACTGAGTAAAAAGGAGGGAGGAGGTGAATATTAGCATCCTTTACTCTCTGCTTCCTGACTGGGGATCCATGTGACCAGCTGTCTCAAGGTCCTGTTGCAGTAATCTCCCCATCATGATGGACTATATCTTGGAATTGTGAATGCAGGATTTTTGGTAATTTGGGGTATCCAGTAGGGGTCTTAGAAAGTATTTTCTGTCGATAAGAGTGGACTCCTGCTATAAGGATGCTAAATGCAATGGATTTAAACCCATCACACACATTCAGGTTCATGAGTTTATGGCAACAAACAAAAAACTACTTATATTTGGGGTTCTGAGGTACCATTTCTTTGGAAAAGTGATAAATCTAGGAAAAGAATTAAGCAATTAATAACAAAATATCAGCTTATTTCTTTTAGAGACTCACAGGTAGATCTCTGTAAGTTTGAAGTCAGTCTTGTCTACGTATGTGGGTTCTAGGACAGCCAGAGTTACATGGTGACTTTCCTGTCTCAAAATCTTTTTTTGTTTTTCTTTTAGACTATTAAAAAAAAAAAGCATAAAGAATAACTTTATTTGGACCAGTGAGATGGTTCAGCAAACGAAAGCGTCTGCTGCCAAGCCTGATGATCTGAGTTAGATTCCTGGTACCCCATATGGTGGAAAAAGAGAACCAACTCCCGTAATCTGTCCTCTGATTGCCACATGCAAATGTATACATACACATATGCCTCCTCCCAAAATAAATAAAGATGTAATAAAAACTTTATTAACTTAAAAGAGGCTAATTTTGAGAACATTACCAAAAAGCCTAAAATGTTTTTTTGGAATAAATTATTATGTTTTAGATTTTCTTCAAAAACAAATAGTATATAACTGAAAGTAACAAAAGTTGCAATCTTTGTGAAAAAGTCAGAAAGTAGCATTGAGGTTCAAAATTCAGAAGCTGAATTCAGGGCTCAAAAAATCCCCTAAAATAGGCCTGAAGCATGGCAGCCTAATCATGACCTAAAGTCTTGTACCTGTAAAAGTCAGCAAACTGAAAAATTCAAAATAAAATAAAATAAAAATACAGATAAAATAAAACAAAGATTAAACATTTATTTGTTACAATAAAGCAGAGAAACTATTACTGCTGTTTAAAAATGAATGTTACTGGTAAACATTTCCTTACATGTCAAATTTGTCATTCTTATTATTGAGTCATTTTTTTGAGTATAAAGTAAATGATGTGCTGGGTGTGGTAGCACACACCTTTAATCCCAGCACTTGGGAGGCAGAGGCAGGAGGATCTCTGTGAGTTCAAGGCCAGCCTGGTCTACATAGTGAGTTCTAGGCCAGCTTGGCCTGTAGGGAGACCCTGTCTAAACAAGACAAATAAAGAAAGGTGATGATGTGATATAAACAAGCTTGCACGTGTATGTGTGTGGTGTATGCATGGCGTGTGTGGGTATGTGTGGGGTCTGCCTGCCTGTATGTGCTATATGCATACCTACATGTGTATGTGAGCATGCTTGTCAAGAGGGTGGGGGAGGGGGATATGCAGAGGTCAGAGGTTGATTTCAGGATGTTTTCCTCAATTGCTCCTCCACCTTATTTTTTATTTATTATTTTTTTGAGGCAGAGTTTCTCACTGAACCTGGAGCTTGTCAGCCAGTTTCTGCTAGACCAGCTGGCCAGCGAGCCCCCAGGATCCACCTGTTTCCACTCTACAGTGCTGGGGTTATAGATGCATGCTGCCTTTTATGCAGGTGCTGGGGATCCCATCTCAGGTCCTCAGGCTTGTGCAGCAAGTACTTTACTCACTGAGCTATATCCTCAGCCCCTTAAATGAGTCTTCCCTTCGTTTTGGAGACTAACTCTCACTCCCGGCTGGCCTCAAACTTGCAATTCTTTAGTCTCAGCCTCCAGGTGTGAACCTGGCTCTAAAGGATTCCTCCTCCTCCTCCTTCTTTTTTTTTTTTTTTTTCCAGGCAGGGTTTTGTTTTGTAGCTCTGGCTGGCCTCAAATTTGCAACACTCACTCCTGCCAAATGACTCTGTTTTAATCAAAGCAGTCATTTATTGAAAGCTTAGAGATACTTTTACAAAGACAGTTCTTTTTGCATTTCCAATCACACTACTAATATCAATCTAATCAAGACCCGCTTACCTCTCTTTGTCTTTAAAATAGGGCTCCACAAATGCTTTCTGTTTGACCTTATCTTGTTTATCACCATGTACTGTAAACAAAACAAACATAAACTGACCTTAGAACTTAATGAGAAATGATTAGTTTGCTGGGGGGGAGGGGGCTATGACATGTACCAACACTTCCCTTTTACTGCAATTCCTTTAAATTTCCTGTTTTCCACCTGCATAATGAAGAAGGTGATGACTACCTCACTTCAGAGTCACTAAACAACTAAAAATCGTATCTCAAAGATTTTAACAGAACTATCTAGATGTCTATTAGCATTTGGCAAGAGACATCAACAAAAGATAGCTTTTAGTACCTCTCACTTATCTGCCCTATTAAATCTGTGTGATGTGTCTTTAAGGTAGGTTATGAATAGAAAAATAAAGATATTAAAGAATGTTAGCAAAAAATGAATCATGGGCTGGCGAGATGGCTCAATGGTTAAGAGCACTGGCTGCTCTTGCAAGAGGACTGGGGTTCAATTCTCAGCACTCGCATGGTGGCTAACAACCATCCATAACTCCAATTCCAGGGGATCCGACACCCTCTTCTGACATCTGAGGGCATTGCACAACACGGGTACATTTACAGACATACAGGCAATACGCTCATACACATAAAATAAAAATAAATTGATCCTGGGGGCTGGAGAGATGGCTCAGCGGTTAAGAGCACTGACTGCTCTTGCAGAGGACCCAGGTTCGATTCCCAGCACCCACATGGTGGCTACGAACCATCCTTAACTCCAGTTCCCTCTTTTGAGGGAAGCCCTCTTTTGACCTCCATGGCATTGCATGGCACAGGTGCACTCACATACACACAGGCAATATGCTCATACACATTTAAAAAAAAAATTGATCATGAAATTTAAGAATTGGCTCAGAGGGTGGGACTTGAATTCTAAGAGCTCTAGACTCAATCAACTGCTATCATCTATTCAAAGAATTAAAACTTACCAAGCAATGTGCTAAGTTCTAGCCACGTATCTCAGCTCTCATGCAGTACACACATATAGTTTGAGAACCAGACATTGGACAAGCAGACACCTTAGACAGGTAAGACTTATCTGAGAATAAAATATTTAAGGTAGTAACTGAAGATGGACATTCCACCAGGAGAAGGGAATGGTACAGGTAGGTCTGGAGACTGAACGTTTCTATGTTATAGGGATTAAGAGAAGGCCAGTGTAGTTGAGATTTAGCAAAGAAAGGGAAATGTGTAGGGAGATCAAGATGGAGAGTAGGCAGATAGAAGATTGACAGGTCTTGGAGTCCAAAAGACAGTCTAAATTCTATTTTATATGTAATAGGAAATAACTGAACATGTTCATCATAAAAATCAATTTCACTGAGGTACCATTCACATATAAAGCACACACTTTAAGTGTGCTCTGACACATTTGACTGAATGCACGTTATTGTAACTGGGACAGCATTCCCAGCACTCCTGCCTTTTCCAATATGCCTTTGTTTCTCATGTGCAGGAACACTCGCTGTGTTGCTGGTCTGCTCTCTGCCCCCACCCCAAACTCTGATTTTATTTCTTTCACTAAATAGCTTATTTGTTTTAGAATTACATACTAAAAAATTATAACCTGCTTTTTAATCATTTTATTTGTTCAGCTCAGCAAGTTGGAGAGTTACCTATGTGGTTTTTGTTTATCTGCTTGTTGATGGACATGTGGTGGGCTGTTTCTAGTTTTGAGGTATTACAAATAGCACGGCCTAATTCACATTGAGCTGAGGCTCTCGTTGTCATCCTAAAAGCCTGATGGGAGCATAAGCGAAGTATAATAAAGGCAGATTGAGCTATAGTGGAAAACATGTTTACTTAAACTAGTATAAAACAACTCCTGCATCAGATTAAAAATTCTGATCATAGACTTTTCACTCACAGTAAAATAATTAGATACTTAACATTACTGGATAGAATATTGTTCTGAGTGTTAACACTAGTTATAAAATATGAATGACACTAAGCATTTTCTCTGAGAAGATAAAGCATTCATAAGAGAAAATGGATCTAACATAGTACAATATTGTACTACAATTATTGATAAAATTAAGCACTATAAACTAAACTTTCTCACATTTTTACATATATATAATGAAGTGTGTGTATATATATACATATATATATTGCTGAATAAAGAATAATTTCTGAGTTCTGATAAATATTTCAGTTATGTAAGACGTATGTAAAAAGATGAGCTCAGTGAAAACTGCATGTGAACACTCTGATCTTTTTTGGGACTCTTGTGTTAGTCTGGAATTGTTTCAAACACAAAACTGAAAAAGAAGTGTATATATGAAACATGAAACTTTTGTTAATATTCCTAATCAATCCTCTATAAATTAGCTTGATAACTTAAGTGAACTCAGTGTAATAGAAAAGCCATAAATGAAGAGAAAATAGCCTTACTGTTTGGTTCCTTGGAGGCAGGAGCTAAGTCCTCATCTGGTACCTGGGGGAAACTATCTGCCAAACAGGATTCATATTCTTCATGCATTGTCCGATCAAACATATCTTCCAAGCTATCATTCATTTTTCTTTCTCCATCTATAGAAACAACAACAAAAGAAAACATTGGCTTACCAGCAGCAAGCAAGTTTTGGCTTTCTAGGTAGTCTGATGTGAAAGCTTTATGAGTAGTAAGACCCAAAATAATGTAATGATGTCTTTAAGGGAACTTACTTTAAAAGATTCTTAAACGTTGATTGCAAGCTCTACCTTGAAGAGTGCTCTTGCAAACACACATGTGCAGTGAAGTACTTATACGTGTACAAGGTACATAAGACTTGTATGCTATCTTGCCAAGAGTGAATGTTAAGTGGGTAACAAACTAATGTATGTAAGTGTTTAAAGCACTTTTTTTGTTTGTATAATTTTTTTTTTTTTTTTTTGGTCTTTTTGAGACAGGGTCTTCCTGTAGCCCCAGCTGTCCTGAAACTCACTATGTAGACCAGGCTGGCCTTGAACTCACAGAGATCCGCCTGCCTCTGCCTCCCAAGTGCTGGGACTACAGGTGTGCACTACCACGCCGGGCTAAAGCACTTTTTTAATGCAACAAGATTTATTAGACAATTTATAAAGCAAGTATATACATGTTTGATAAATTTGACAAATAATCACACTATAATTAACTTTAAAAATTCCAGGAAAACAATGTAATAATGAATATTCAGGCTAAAAAGGGCACCCTTTAATATCATCTGCTGGGCATTTCTGTGATGTAGGACTGCTGAGACTTACTATATAAGTAAGTCTTTTTTTGGGGGGGAAGCTTTTGATACATTTTGTATTCATTACAATATAGGAAAGAGTGTCAGAGACAAAGACACATCAGAATACATGCTGTGTTTAAAGCACTTTTAAAAATACAATTACAATACAGGCTTCAGGTCTATCAGGTCTAGTTGTAAAGAATGTTCTTTGAGTGAACAGGCAGTGAGTAAGGTGGCACTCATGAACACACACTAAAAAGAGTGTAAGAATACTAGTTGTAAACTAATGTTGAAAGAGTATGACTCAAAGAAGATGACATACTGTAATATATACAATTAAGTAAAGATACTTCTTCAATCACAATTCTTAGAATGTGGCTTAATTCTCACAAGTGGCATGTCCTGGTAGTTACTGCACATGAACAAAGTCTTTATGTGCTGACTTTTAAGTGTTGCCTTGTGAAGAGAATGCTAGTTTTTGCTGTTATATAATCAAATCCTTTTTTTCTTTCTTTTTGATCTTTTTTGAGACATGGTCTTCCTGTAGCCCCAGCTAGCCTGGCACTTGCTATGTAGACCAGGATGGCCTTGAACTCTCAGAGATCGACCTGCCTTTGCCTCCCGAGTGCTGGGACTAAAGGTGTGCACTACCATGCCCGACTATAACCAAATTTCTTAAAGAAACCAGTCTTTCCTTTACCAGCTCATATGTAACTCATAAAATCAAAAGTGCAAAATTCACCTTTAGAGCTCTAACTATGTTTTCTATTATATAATCACATTCTAAAAATAACAATTTAGAGTGAGCGTAGTGGCCCATGCCTTTAATCCTAGTACTGCAGAGGCAGAGGCAGGAAGATTTCTGTGAGATCCAAACTAGCCTGGTCTACATAGCTAGTTCAGAACTAGTTGGGATTATGGGGAGACCTCATCTTCAACAAACGAACAAACAAACAAAGAAACCAATTTAAGAAAAAACAAGAGATTTAGCTGTCTATTAAATATGACAGACCGGCGTCAGCCAAGATAGTTCAGAATACAGTATCAATCACCATTCCTAATCCATAGAACTCCATTCCTCTTACTTTGATTTATTGTTGTCCAAAATGCCATCACTATCATGTTATGTTCACTTGTTTCTTCCCCATTAAAATGTAAATTCCAAGGAGCAGGTGCTTTTTTTCTGTTTATTCCTATTCTAGAATATTTTTTGCTACATAATTTTGCTTGATAGTTACTGGATGATTTGATTACATATTACATATGTGTCTTTTTTTTTTTGCTGCGGGGCAAATTTGTTAATAACATATACTTTTTATGTTATGTGCCAGGCACTAACACTACACATTCCCAAAGCACTCTGTAGAGCTGTTACTAAGTCACAATGCTACGTTGCTTACTTATTATTATTTGACTGGTCTGCCTTCTGATTGTGAAATACCTGAATAAAGAAACTATAACCTTTTAAAAATCATTCTATCACAGCACTGGGTAGGTATAATACAAAGTAGGGGTACAGGAGACATTTTAAAAAATTAAGGTATTAGCAGTAATTGGAAGTTTTTATTGGTGTACTTCATTGTTTTGTTAAGCAGGATTACTTTAATAAGGTAGATTATGGTTTTTTCCTTCAAATATGGCTTCAACAGTGTCTACTATTACAAATGCTGTTCTTACAATATTATATGGACAGCCAAATGCTTGATCATATGGTTTGTTACTTACTACTAAAAAACAAAGATTCAAGACACAGGCTACTGAAATCTTCCCACTAACTGCATTTAGGGCACTGAGAAAGAATGCGATGCAAAGAAACCAGTGCAGACTGGCTACTCATGTCTTTGGCCTAGGGTTGGTGGAGTAGAGATTAAGGAGAATGTACATAAGGATGGAATGTCCTCACAGTTTCTAACAGATGATTGCTGAGAAATCCCTTTAATGTTAGCACTGCATCTTCATGCGCAGGCCTGGCCGTCCATACTAAGGGTGAGAAGTGGTGATTGCTTGCTTGTTTCCTGTGTAACTGCTCCTGTGCGTCTATAGAAGGAATCATATAAAGGCTGTGCTGACCAGTTCTTGCAGTTGCTGCCACGTCTTTTAGAAAGTCAAGGTTTTAGCTAAGAATTAAAAGATCCCCACTAGAGGTGGTATACACACCTCAGTTGACTAACGCCCCTTCTTTGTAGATGTAGACTATAACAGATCAACTCACCATATGCAATTATCTCTCAGTGATAATTGTTGAATTGATTCTAATACTTCCCTATAAAATTCCTTTCTTTTTTTTTATCAAATTACTTGAGGAAAAAAAAAAATTCTAGGCCTGGAGAGATGGCTCAGTAATCTTGCAGAGGACCTGGGCTTGATTCCTAGCACCCACATGGCAGCTAACAACCATCCATAACTTCAGTTCCAGGGGATCTGATGTCCTCTTCTGACCTCTGTGGGTGCTGCATGACATGGGTGCACTTACGTACATGCAAGCAAAACACTCATACACATAAAATGAAAATAGTAAGATATTTTGGTTGTTTAGAGACAGGTCTCCTTATAGCCATAGCTGGCCTGGATTCGCTATGGAGACCAGGCTGACCTTGAACTCACACAGATCCGCCTGCCTCTGCCTCCCGAGTGCTAGGATTAAAGGCATGTACCACCACACTTGACTAAAAAAAATAATAAAATTATAAAAGAAATTATAATTCTAAAAAGACTCAAGATTCCCTTTTACACTATTAACTAGAAATCATCTAAACCAGAGATGAGCAAACTTTTTCTAAAAAAGATCAGACAGGAAATATCTGAGGTACGTGGGGCCATAAGGTCTTTATCAACTATTCAATTTGATCTTGTATAAAATAAACAACTATTAATAACATGTAAAACAAATAAATGAGGCTGTGCTCCAATAAAACTTTATTTATAAACTAGCCACTGGGTAGATTTTGCTAGCCTGTGAAAGCAATTTGAATTTCTGAACTAAAGTTATTATAGCTAAAGTTTTTTTTTTTTTTTTTTTTTTTCTCCATGAATAAGCTGAGTTTTCTTGGGAAGGAATTTAAAATTAACAGAGCAGGAATTGGGCATGGTGATATAAGCCTGTAATGTCAGATCTCAGGAGACTGACAGAAAGATTCCAAGTTCAAGACCAGCCTCAGCTACACAGCAAGACCCCATCTCAAAAACCCCAAACCAAATCAAACCAAAATACCACCTTTCCCATCCCAATTAACAGAGTAGAAAAAAAAAAAACAAACAACTAGATCTATAAAATCCAAAAATCTGGTTTACAAAGTCACTATTCTTTCTTATCAGTATAATGGTATGACTACAAATTTTATTCTACATTTGAGTAAGTAACCAAAACCCAAATAAATCTTACTTGGACTATTTTCCTTTTGCTCTTGCTTCTTCATTTTTAAAAGCATGGTCTCACTGACCAATGTACAGTCCATGTCCACGGTCTCTCCTCCTAATTGTGACTGACTGCTGTCCTGAATAAATATTTTGAAAATTCAAAATTTTAGCAATTAATCCTTCATAGCCTTTTATCTGCTTTTGAAAAAAAAGAAAGGTAAAAAAGTTACTCTTTTAAGTCATTAAGTTATATTTACTTTTATATCTTAAGAACAGAGGTTTAGGTTTTATTGCCTATAGAACACTCAAACTTCAATAAATAAGCACCTTCTTGTCAAGCCTAGGAAAAGGAAGACTTTGGCCAAGGAAGGGAGACTTATTTACTACTAAATACCTTTGAGCTTTTTCTACCTTCTCCAATCTGCCTTACAGTAATGAACACCAATGTACATACAAAACAATTTTAGTAATCAAATTTTCTTTCTTCATAGATATGTTACTCTAGCAAACATTAGATAATCTCTTACTAATGTACGACCAAGTGAAAGAGAACTCCTCAAACTATATGGAACAGGAAGCAAAAAAATATTTCCAATACAAATTTTAATGAAAAAACACAGTATTTAAGCAGGGCATAGTCTTGCATGCCTGAAGTCCCAGAATTCATAAAGTTGAAACAGGATTGTAAGTCTGAGGCCAGCCTGAGCAACACAGTGAGATGCTGTTTCAAACAAAATAAAATTCAGTATTTTTAAAAAGTCAGTTGGAAAAAAAAAATAAATGTTTGTCTTGATAGCATTTTTTTAAAAGAGTTTTCTTCTCATGTAAACTCAAGCAAACAAAAGCCCAGCATAGAACTGGGGAAATGGACTGCAGACCCCAATCTTAGCTGAAGAAATATTGGCAACTGATCAATGCTGGGTGAGGAAGAGCTGATCTTCCTAAAGCAAGGAACTCTAGATAGGTTGACGAGACCTCAGTAGATGAACCTGAACTGGGGAACATCTGGGGACACTAACTTGACAGAATAGGCCTAAGACAAATGACGGAAGGTATGAATTCCAGTGGGGGGGATATGGGAGGGTGCCAGTGGGGACAGGGGTATAAAGATGATTAAGATAGATTGAGATGTTCTGTATGAAATATACAAAAATTCAATTAAAAAAATTAGGAAAAAAAGAAAAAAGATAGGGCCTTCTCATAGCCCTAGCTGACTTGGAACTCATTATGTTGTCCAGGCTAGCCTTGATTTCACAGAAGTCTGCCTGCCTCTGCCTCCCAACCATAAGCTACCATGCCCAGCTTTTGACAACACATTAAAAATAAAACAAAATTTAAAAAAGCTAATCAAGACATATGATGAAATTAAGCATGGTGGTACACACTTGTAATCTTAATACTTAGGAGGATGAAGCAAAAGGACACTAAGTTTGAAATCAGTCTAGGATCCTGTTTCAAAAAACTAAAGACATAGGAATGTTTTGATAAAAGTTTCACTTACTCAACTAGGATTTTACATTATTTAAAAAAAAACTATATTGTTTCATAGCAAAGGCCTTTAAAACCAGAATGTATTAATAACTGTTCAAAACTGCCATCATGTTGGAAGAAAAGGCATTTTTATTTCTTTGTTTTCTGAGTGAATACATGTAGGTTTTAAGAAATATCTATCGTGGACCAACAAGATGGCTCAGTGGGTAAAGGTGCCTGTCATTAATCCTGACAACCTGAATTTGATTTCTAGAACCTACATGGTGGAAGGAGAGAACGGACTCTTGAAGGTTGTCACTTGACCTCCACATGTATGTTGTACGCACATGTATGCACACATGCCCATACAAACATAAAAATGGCTGATTAACAACTCACTATATTATGTTCTAATTTTAAACTTACCTTTGTATCTATTACAGTCACATCCATTTTATACTGAGAAAGGTCTGCTCCTGGATCTATACTCCACTGGATATTTTCAAAGGATACATCTTAGATGAGGGACGGAAAAAGCACAAATAAAAACCTGATTTGAAAATTCTCATCACTTTAAAATGTTAAGAGACCTTGTGATGGTTTGAATGAAAATGTCCCCCATAGGCTCTAAGTATTTGGACATTTTGTTCCCAAATGGTGGCACTGTTCTTTGAGGTTTAGAAGGTGTGGCTATCTTAGAGGAAGCATGTCACTAAGGGTGGGCTTAGACAGTTCTTAAGCCTTGCCAGATCTCCAGTTGTTCTCTTGCTTCCTTTGCCTGTGTGATAACGTGAGAGCTTCACTTCTGCTGCTCCTGCTCCAGCCACCTCCAGCCACCATGCCTCCCTGCCATGACGGACTGTAATTCCCCTGGAACTGTAAGCACAAATAAACTCTTCCTTCTATAAATTGCTTGGGTCAGTGTTTCTATCACAGCAACAGAAAAGTGACTAATACAGTAATTGGTACCAGAGAGTGGGCTGTTGGCTGTGAAGAACCTGACCATGTGGGGCGTTGGAAGAATGTGGAAGACTCTGGAAGTTTGGGCTAGAAAAGTAGTTGATTGCTGTAAGCAGAACTTAACAGGCCATTCTAGTAGGGTCTGGAAGAAAGTAGTGCTGAGAACAATGTAGTTCGAGAGGGAAAGAAGGACTTAAGCAGCACTTGGGATATTTTGGCAAGAGTCTGGCTGGAGTCTGTCCACAGCCAAAAAGCTTGCCTGAGGCTTAAGTTGAAAAGCCATGGACTAATTTCTCTAGTGGAAGAAATCTCAAGACAGCCTAATGTAGAAATGGTGGCATGGCTATTAATGGCAAATATTATATAGATTTACAGAGAAAAAGAGCAAATGGGGCAGAAAGAAATACAGAATGTACAGGATGGATTGAAAAAGAGCACTAGGAGGACTACTACTGGAGCCCTGGCATGTGATGGAGAGGATCCCATTGATAAGGAGGTTAAAGTGATTAAGGAGGGGCCTACAGATTCACACTTAAACAATGGAGAGAGAGTGCCTCTAGTGCAAGACCACACCCAGTTAAGCCTCCAACTTGTGAAAGGAAAATGCTGCAGAGACCACTAAAGAGAAAAGCTTCTAAAATGGATAAAGCAGGCTGGAGTCCATCCCAAACTTGCAGTCAAACTTTGAATTGTCCTTCACCTGGCACTGGCTTCAGAGGCATGAAAGGTGCAAGAGTGAAGGGGTCATCAGTTCTTCCTCTGCAGTTTCAGAGAGCCTCAGAGGCCAGGCAGCATGCAGCAGGGGTTTCCCTGCCTAGAGAAGGCCCTGATAGGCCATTGTGTGAAGCTGTGAAGGTGAAGCCTGGTTGGCAATAGAGACCCCAAGAAGTTCATGATGCCAGAGCTGTGAGGCATCTGCCAAGACCTGCATACAGGGAGTGGTACCAGCACAAGAGAGAGATGTATGTTGCATGCAGCAAAGCTAGAGAGGCTGAGCCATCTAAGTCCTTTGGAAGCAAAGTCCCAGAAGTTGGATGTGGAGCTAATGGATTTGGTGTTTGCCCTGCTGGTTTTTGGTCTTGTTTTAGCCTGGTATTTCCTTATTATGCCTCCATTCCTCCCTTTTGGAATGGTAATGTGTATTTGGTTCCACTATATGTTGGGAGTATGTAATCTGTCTTTTGGTTTTATAGAGGCTTACAGTTAAGGTATTTACCTGAGTCTCAGAAGAGATCTTGGACTGTGGACTTTTAAATAGTATTGAGGCTAATAATGACTATGGGGACTTTTAAAGTTGTACTAAATGCATTTTGCATTTTATATGGTCAAGAGCCTATGAGGGCCAGGGGGTGGAATGTGATGGTTTGAATGAAAATGTCCCCCATAAGCTCCAAGTATTTGGATATTTTGTCTCCAGATGATGGTGCTGTTTTGGGAGGTTTTAGAAAGTGTGGCTGTCCTGGAGGAAGCACGTCACTGGGGGTGGGCTTAGACAGTTCTTAAGCCTTGGCAGATCTCTAGTCGCGCTCTTGATTCCTGTGCCTGCATGATGATGTGAGAGCTTCATTTCTGCTGCTTCTGTTCCAGCCACCTCCAGCCACCATGCCTCCCTGCCATGATGGACTGTAATTCCCCTGGAACCGTAAGCTCAAATAAACTCTTCCTTCTATAAATTGCTTGGGTCAGTGTTTCCATCACAGCAACAGAAAAGTGACTAATACAGACCCACAGAATAGAAAATGTTTTGTAAATTGCCTGTCTGGTGAGGTACTTATACCCAGGATATATAGAGAGAACTCTCATAGCACATACTCAAAAATTAAACATCCCAATTAAACATGGGGCAAAGGATCTCAACAGACAGTTCAAATGGCAATAGGCTATGAAAAAATGCTCAATAAGATTAGCTATCAGAAAAATGCAAAGCACCATTAAGATACTAGTTCACACCCACTAAAATGACTAGAATCAAAAAAATGTATGTAACAAGTGATTGTGAAAAACAGAAACCTAAACAAAACAATGGTGGAAATGCAGAATGGTATAGCTGCTTTGAAAAACAGGCAGTTCCTTAAAAGGTCAAACTCAGAGCTGGCATATAGTATAGCAATTTTACTCGTAGGTAACCTCTCCACCCCCCAAACACCCCGGAAACAAAAAAGGAAAATAAAAATGTAGAGAAAAATTTGTACATAAATGCTCATAGTAGTATTATTCATAATAGCAGCAGGACATTATAAATCATAGCATATAATGAAATTTTATTCAGTAAAAAGGGAATGAAAATTGCAAACATTATGCAGTATTGGTGAGATGGATCAGCAGGTGAAGGCGCTTGCCATGTAAGACCAATGACCTAAGTTTGATCCTTAGAACCCATAAAAGGTAGAAAGAGACAAACGACTCTACAGAGTTTTCTTCTGACCTCCACGTATATTCTGTGACACATGAACACCCACAGACATACATCATATACACAATAGCAATAATTAAAATAAAATTAAAAAGAAAACATTATGCCAAGTGAAAGAAATCACAAGATTATATACTAATTGGGTTTTATACCTCTAGAATATTTAAATCTGTGGAGATGCCTAGGATAGGGAAGGAAGAAAAGGCATGGAAGATGCTGAAAGTGTTCTAAGCTTAGACTAGAGAGAGACAGTGGTACTACTCCATGAATATACCAAAATGACTAATTGGTGGCTTTTATGGTAAATGACTTATGTTTCAATAAAGTAATTTTTTAAAAGTAAAAATTATAAAATTGTGGGGCTGGAGAGATGGCTCAGCGGTTAAGAGCACTGGCTGCCCTTGCAGAGAACTGGGTTCGATCCAGCAACAACATGGTGGCTAACAACAGTCTGTAACTCTAGTTCCAGGGGATCCAACACCCTCTTCTGACCTCTATGGGCAGTGCATGACACAGATGCACTTATACTCATGCAGGCAATATACTCATAAAATAATAAAATATTTAAAAAATTATAAAATTGCCTGGATTTTTGTGTATAGCATAACACATGACAACTACTTAAATGAAGTTTCAGAACATGAAGTAAAATGATACTAACTGAAAGTATATGAAAGGTTAATAGGAATATTATAATCCACAGAAAAAGTTAAAAAAGAAACCAACCAAACGAAAAATCCAAAATGCTAAAGAAAAAAATCAGGAACTAGAGTGGAAAAACAAGAAACAAAATGCTTTCACACTGAGACTGAAACTGTTGTTGAAAAACAACTAAAGAATGTGGGGAGGATAAAAGAAAATAAGCTAATAATAAAGGAATAACAACTTGCTAAAGATGAAAAAAAGAAAAATACTATATATTAAACATATAAGTATCTAGTAGATGAAAAACTAAGGGGCATTTCTATACATATTAGGGTAAACTGTTTTTAACTAAGAAGTTTAAGGGCTGGGAGTACCTGCAGTGCCTAAGAAGGGTCTAAACCTAAGTCAAAAGGCCAGGCATGGCGGGGAGGGAGGACAAGCAAGTCCACAGGGCTTGCTGACATCCAGTCTAATCTAATCAGTGAGCTCCAGGTCAATGAGAGAGCATCTCAAAATAAGGTGGGCAGCCCTCGAGAACATTATTCCAGGCACACAAATGTGCACCTGCATACACATGCACATGCATATGATTTAAACAAGTATTTAAAAAAAACCTAATAAATGTATGCATGCATATGCTTATAGACAAATATTTGAATGAAAAGCAAAAAGACAGGCTATCTAAAGGGTAAAGAACAAGGTTTCAATAATGAAAGTTCTTTTTAAAATTATTCTGTACCATCTAGAGGGCTGGGGTATAGCTTGCCAGGTATGCATGAGGTCCTAGGTTTGATCCCCAGTACTGCCTATCTCCTGAAAATCTATGTAGTTAAAATTCTTTTTTAAGCTTTTTAAAGAGAAATAATAAATAACTACATAAAATAAGTAAATCCACAAATTTACCTATGTAAAAGTAGGTATCAAAGTATTTCAATTTACTTTTGCAAAAATCACAAAAGCAAAAAAAAAAAAAATGTAAAACCAAACAAATGTGAATCATGCTATAAACACAGAAATGTGCAGGAAAAAGTAACACGTTTTTTTTCCTCAAACAATTTATCTGAAGAATGTAAATGATATCCAGTTAAGAGGGGAAATTCTATTTATAGTACAAATACCTGGGTTGTTTTGCAGAGACTTCGTTTTAGCAATTCTACAGGGATTTAACTGAAGAACTGATGCGAGCTCACATCCTCCATGGACTGATCTGTTTTTTACTCTTATTGGCGCCAGAGAACTAGCAGCCTAGACAGAAATAATTATTAGCACCAAAATAATATCATAAATGATAATTTTAATCAAAATCTCTGAACATTTAGCACAAACCTTCAGGTCATCAAAAAGATTCTCTGTCTCCAAACTTTCATGTGGACATAGAGGGATTTTGAAGACAGGATTCTCTTCTTTTATTTGTAGTGGTGTTTTATGGTCTGGAGAGAATTTACTAGAGGACTGGTGGATACGCTCCTGTAAACAGGATTCCTCCGGGGAATCTCTGACTAACATGCAGCTCCCACTCAAGGCTTTACGGCTTGAGGAGGAGCCCTTTGGAATGGGCTTCAAAGCCTCATAAATAGTCACTTGCTTAAGTTTGTTTTTAGAGGCTTCATTTCCTTGGCTTTTCTCTTGACTATGAATAGCTGAAAACCGATCTGAGAGATCCAGAGGTTTATCCATCACATGGTCTCCATTTGTGGAAAACTGATTCTCCAGAGGAAAAGTATTTTCTTTGTCAAAACAGGTCTGAGGGCAGTTTTTGTGTTCACTTTCTTCTTCAGTCTTCTTCCTTTTGGACGCTCTGCCTCCCAGGGATTTCAGAGGCACCATATGTTTATCAGTAACAGCATCTTTAATGAAATTAGTGCTATCCTGTTCATCTATGCATTCACTTACATTTTTACTTATAAGTATCTGTTTATTAGGAAATGAGTGGCTAATGACTTTGTTCACTTCAGACCCAAGACAATGATGTGTGAAAAGGGCATTATCTTCAGATTTTGATCTAGCTTTCTCTGATTTAGAAACAGAAATACTGCTAAAACGAGCTGCTTTCAGGGTTTTTTTCCCAGTGTCTAAAAGAGAAGGTGAGAAACTTGTATTCAAACTCAAATGAGTTTTCACATTAGACGTAGCTCCAAATACAGGAGATGATGCCCGAGTAGTCAATTCTTGGGGAGAAGTCTTTGAAGTAGAATCTGAAAATCTAAATAAATAATGATAAAAATTTTCTGTTACTAAAAAACGTGGCAAAAATTAAAAGACCAGCATAAGAAAACCTTTCTTGATACAGAACAGTGGAGTATTAGCTACTTATTAGAGGGAAACATGATTAGCCAAAATTTAAGATAGTATTGGCTTCTCTTCATTTGCAGACCAGAAGAGGAAGAAAATGATAGTGCAAATGTGTCCACACAACCAAATTTATACATAATTTCTTTTCTTTTTCAACTTGGGATAGTCTTGTGCAGCCCAGGATGGCTTCAGACTCTTGACTCTATGACTATATACACCTCATAATCTTTTTTTTTGATAAGACCCATGCAAAGTCAATCGAAAACTCAGCATAGAACAGTGAAAATGGGCAGCAGGCCTCAACCTTGGCCAAGGAACTATTGGAGCTGATCAGTGCTGGGTGAGGGAGAGCTGATATTCTTTAAGAGAGAGAGACTCTAGATAGGCTGACTAGAGTCCAGTGACTGAACTCATACTGAGGGACATCTGGGTACAAAAGCTTGACTCAATAGGCCTTAACATACATGACAGAGTGCATAAAAGAGATGAGGTCTCACTATGTCACCCCGGAGGCTCTGTTAATTTTTCACCTCAGCTTTCTGAGTAGCTGGGATGAGAGGTACATGATAAAGCATATGGCTTTCTATCCATAACATTTTTACTTAAGTAATTAAAATAATTTCACTTACAAAAACTTCAAAAATTCTACTGAGGACTCAAAATCTTGTTGTTATAAAATCTTATGAGTAATTTCAAGAAACAAAATTCTGGAGCTGGAGAGATGGCTCAGTGGTTAAAAGCACTCACTGCTCTTGCAGAGGACCCGGGTTCACTTCCCAGCATTCACATGGCAGCTAACAACCAGTTCTAGGGGATGTGACACCCTCTCTGGCCTCTGTGGACACTGCATGATATGGGTGCACTTACATACATGCAGGAAAAACACTCATATACATACAATAAAAAAAATCAAAAATAATTTTTTTAAAGAACAAAATTCTTATACTACAGAACTGAATACAAATCAAGGCCCAAACTGTCTCCTAGCAAGAGATAGTTATAAAAGAATACTGGGTTTCAAAGTGAAGTATGGGCTCAGTAAGTGCTCCTCAAAGCTACAGGATCTTAAAAAAGACATTTAACCTTCTGGAGCTACATTTTTGTTATCTGTTTAAGAAAACAGGAAAGAGGCAATAAAACCTACCTTAATGAGTTATGATGATAAACTAAGTGTAATATATGTATTTAAAAGCCAAGTAAGCAAAATACTTTATCAATATAAGCGCCATTATATGCTCATATAAGCATAATAAACATGAAGTTAGTAAAGAAAGAGAGACAGAGAGAGAAAACACAATAATCTTGGAAGCTCACCTAAGTTTCTAGATGAATTCCCTGCAACATACAGTGTTTGGAAACATAAAGGAATGCCTGGATCTTAAAGGAAGTAAAGCAAAAAGACTGGGAGCTTTTTAAATACTGCCTGATGATATACAAAAAGGACCTAAAACTAACATCTACCTCTCTACTATAATGCAAAAAATCCTCTCAATTGGTCATAAATTGCAGATATTTTTGTGGAGTTGGCTCTTGGGGGCAACGAGACTGAAACCAAGAGCCTTGTGAGGTCTATGGAGACACATTTTTAAAAAACTACAGACAAGATAGCTAACTGTCTGCTGAACAGTTTAACTAAATGGTTTAATGACAATTAAATTTCATCAATAGCTTATGCATCTTTACCAAAGCGCCCAAATTACCTTAAGTTATCTTCACTACTTCTTGTAGATTCCTCAAAAGGCTGTTTCTTCTGCTCTCCTTCTAGACAGTGGTAGGGTTCATCCCCAAGAGGGCTCATAGGATCCTGAGGTTCCTTCAACAGTAAAATACACTTACAGGGGCTAAGGAACTAATAAAAGCTACAATATGGATAAATGTTAAAAATATGTAAGCTAACCGGGGCGTGGTGGCACATGCTCTTGATCCTAGCTCTAGGGAGGCAGAGGCAGGCGAATCTCTGTGAGTTCAAGTTCAGCCTGGTCTAGATAGGAAGTTCCAGGCCAGACAGGGCTACATAGTGAGACTCTGTCTCAAAAAAACAAAAACAAACTGGGCATGGTGGTGCGAGTCTTTAATATCCAGCCCTCGGGAGACAGAGGCAGGCAGATTTCTGTGAGACTGAGGCCAGCCTGGTCTACATAGTGACTTCCAGGCAGGCTGGGAATAGGGAGAGCCTGTCATCAAAGAAACAAACAAAAAACTCCAAAATATATTAAGTAAAAGAAACCAGATTAGAAAACCACATAATGTATTATTTTATTTATATGAAATATCCAGATAGGTAAATCTTTAAGGACAGAAAAGAAACTGGTGACTGCTAAGAGAGGGGAGTGAGAGTCAGCATGTTAGGTGTATGGGTTTTCTTTTTGGGCAACAAAAATGCTGGTCAGGTAGGTAGAGGTACATAATATTGTGAATGCATAAACATTCATGAGCTGAATGCTTTAAAATGACTAACCTTATACTATCTGAAATTTATTCCAATTCAAAAATATAAAGAGGAAACTTTCAATATTTTATTTATACATGTATATTTTACTACTGCCTATAAATATTCCAATTACAGAACACATTAAAGTAAAGATGAGAACAAGGGCCTTCTTCTATATACTATGCAAGTGTTCTACCAGTACGCTAAATCCCCAGTCCTTAAAGTTGTTCCAAAACAGAACTTCATCTAGCATTTTGAGGTCTTGGCTTCTAAGCCCCAGTAATACAAATAGGAAGACAAGAACAACAATAACCCTCTAATTTGGGGATGAAGAGATGGCTGAGTAGTTAAGAGTACTTGCTGCTCTTGAAGAGAACTAGAATTTGATTCTTAGCACCCATATCAGGCAGCTCACGAAAGTGCTTGGAACTCCAGCTTCAGGGACTCTTCTGGCCTCTGTGGGTACGTGCATGGAAATGCACATACCCACATGCAGACACACACAGACAAATAAAGAAAAAAAGTATACATATATTTTGGTCTTTTTGAGACAGGGTCTCCCTGTAGCCCCAGCTGGCCTTGAACTCACAGAGATCCACTAGCCTCTGCCTCCCTAGTGCTGGGATTAAAGGCATGTGCCACCACACCAGCCAAGAAAAGTATTTTTTAAGTATCAAACTTAAAACTGAATAATTCAAGTTTCCTATTTCTTTTAAAGATTAACTAAGCGGGGAAAAATAAACGACTGATGTAGAGAGTACTAAAATAACAAAAACAAAATTGTGGAGTCAGTCTCTGGTCCAACCTCTAAGGATTATATCTGGCTGGATTGGTAGTTCTTGGTAGTTACAAAGCTTCAGACCATTTTCTGAATCAAACAAGAGCCTAAAGGATATCAAAGAGACCCAATAAATTCTGAAATAAATTTAAAGGATCTTTTCTTAGAATGAAGATGGAAAAGGAGCCTGAGAGAGAAAGTATGAAACACAGGTGACAAAATAAATCCCCTAAATTTTGATTGGATGCATTTTCTAAGATTCCATTCCTATGACTACCTGGATGAATACTATAAATAGGCCTTTCTAATAGTTTAGTTCCAGGCCTTTAACAATTTAGCAATTCTCCTGCTCAATCCTCATGATCCTCCTGTCTCCATCTCTTTATCACGTCCTACCAGCATGTGCCATCACAACTGGCTCCTGTTCAGTCCTCTAAGAACAGATGTAAACATACTTATTAATAATTTATATTATCATCAAACTAAGTAATTACTTACAGATTCTTCTTGAACGGTAAGTGAAGGTGTTTCAGCAACAGCCGTAGCTAAATTAAAAGATGACTTATCAGTGGGATAATTGTTTGTTCCACGTATTTCTAAAGTAAAGAGGAAAAAAGAACATTATACAATTGTGGAAGCTAGATATATAAAAATCAAAGATCAGGAAAAGAATCAAGAAGCCATTTTATAAGATGACAGTGGACAAATTTTAAAAATTCTATTCAAAAGGTCCAAAATATCTACCATAAATAGTGACAAGTTACTGAATATAAAAGGCAGATTATATGTCTTCTTCTCAAGGAGTGACTACATTTGAGAGGTAAAAATAGAATTTGCATTTTTTAAGGAAAAAAGAATTTGCAGAAGAATGTAATAAACATTAATAAAGGCTAAAGTATCAGAGGGCTCTAAATCTGCTTTGAAGAATCAAGGCAAACTATACAAAGTGATACCTAAGCTGACCCTTGAGAGAAAGGGGAGTTTGGCAATTTAATTAAACAAAGGGCAGAAACTAGGATTATAGGAATCTTTAAGGGTTCAGATACATGAAGCATATCTGCTGTTCAGGACCTACATATGGTTTAATTGCTAGAAATTCAATCACAGAAGATGGAAGTAGCAGGACATGAACCCAAACATGTTAATTAGGGGTCAAATTATGCTAAAGAATTTAGAACTTCTCTTGTAGATAGTGAAAAGATATACTCAAAGTTTTGAAAAGGATAGGCTCAATACTTGGGTGTAAATGGTAAATTCTGGCAATGACAGGTTTATGGTCAAGAAACAAACTCTAACAGGCAGGAGAATATAAATTACTAAAACAGTCTTGATGCTGGTGACTAAAAGCAGTACAGAGGGTACAGAGAATATGTACAACAGACACGGAGGAGGCAGAATCAGTATAATTTGGAGGATGTCTAGATATGGAATGAAGAAGGAGTGTAGGATGACTCAGAGCTTTTTGATTTAGGTAACTAAAAGAGATATGTGGTGTCATTCACCAAACGAGGAAGATACAATGACTCTGAGCACAAGGATGAAGAGTAAGTCTGATGAGAGAGCATCCATTCTGGACACACTGAAAATAAAAAATATCCAGGCAGAAATAACAGCAAGCAGATACACTGGTCTGGAATCTAGGAGAAAAGTCTTAAACAGAGATCTAGGCAGAATACTGATTCTAGGTGAGAACTTTCCAGAAAGAAAGGCATAAGCAAGCTCAGGCCCAAACATATGGGATAACAGTGACGGAGAAAATAAATAGACTCATGCATTTAATGCCACTTTTGTATGTGTCTAACATAGCTTTACGAATGATTTTATACTTCAGAATACAGTACTCATCTTGTAGTGGTTTTATAAAAGCTTACTAAAATTTGTTTTGAAAAAATAATCAAAACTAGCCGGGCATGGTGGTGCATGCCTTTAGTCCCAGCACTTGGGAGGTACAGCCAGGAGGATCTCTGTGAGTTCAAGGCCAGCTGGGGCTAGAGGGAGACCCTGTCTTCAAAAGACTTAAAAAAAAAAATCAGAACTAAAATGGAGAAAGCAATCTTAAGAAATAAGTGCCACAGTTATCTAGTGGAGCAACTGTATGCAACTGCCTTGTTTGCTAAAACACCTGTAATAAAACTCTGTTAAAAAAAAATCTTAACCTCTGCCCTAAATGACTACCCCTGTAAACATGCCTGCAGAAGGAATTTCCTTTTGGTGGTGTTAAGGGCACTAAGCACCTGTGGTAATAATCATTCATATACCCGCCAATGTATACCCAAAACACTGTAATAATGCGAGGGACCTATAAATTCTGTAAAGGGACTCAACTCAGTGTGCAAGTTCTTTGGGAGGTAACACCTCTGAGTCCACTAGCATGAATAAATGTCCCTGATTTCTCCACATTGAATCTTTTGGTGTCTCTTCTGTGTATGGCTGGTCCTGTGCCTCAGTTTTCCCATAACAACAGAAACTTTGCTAACTTTTGCTAGAAGCAGTTGCAGTGTGATGAGTGCAATCAGTGCAAATGTGTTGACTTTCTCTTTACCGTTGTGTTCTTCTCTTCTCCCTTGTACTCTTCTGTCATGAGGGACAGGGTAGGAGAGTAATACTAGAGTAAACTAGAGTAGATGAGTGTTAAGAAACAGATACTGAGAACAGACTATTTCAACTTCGAAAAGAAGCTATTGCTAAAAGTAGTAACAATTAAGAGGGTTTTTTTTTTAAATGGAAGATAATATATGTGTATATGTTGAAATAAAAAGACCAGCAGAATAGCAGATTTAACAAAATATAACAAAAGAGGCCAGGAGCTGGGCCTGGTGGCACACACCTTTAATCCCAACACTTGGGAGGTAGAGGCAAGTAGACCCTTGTGAGTTCAAGACCAGCCTGTCTACAAAGTGAGTTACAGATCAGCTGGGGCTACAGGGAGACCCTGTCTCCAAAGACAGAAAAAAGAAAAAAAAAAAAAGATAGGCCAGGGGTGTGGCTCAGTAGTAGAGCCACTTGCCTAGTGCATGGAAAGCTCTGGGTTCAATCTATAATACTAAAAACAAACGAACAAAGAGACAAACAACAAAACAAGAAAGAAAGAGGACAAATAATGGAGCAAAGGGAGCCATGGAAGAAAAAGGCTCTAGAGCGCGGAGTAATGTCTTACTCAAACACTCTATTCCCAGCATCCCCTGCTGGCCTAGGAGTTTGTCTATATACACACATACATGCTTGTTCAAACAACTGTAGATACACACTATTATAGAATTACCTAGTTTCTACAAAATCAGCTTTCTGCTAATATACCATGAGCAGTTAACCCTTTCAACGGGGCTCTGAAGCTCACCTCCTCTTACCTTTTCAAGGATTTAGCAGTTCTTCTCTTCCTCCTGTCTGACTAATTTTTACCCTTTGCTCTATCATCCTATGAGGATACACATTTGCTGAGTGTGCCCATCTTGAAAAAAATAAAGATTTGACCCATTTTTCTTGCTAGTCACTGCCCTATTCCTTTCTTCTCTTGACTGTACAATATCCTGGAAGACTCGTTTTTATGTATGCTCTCTCTCATCCTGAGATGATCAGTTATGCCTTAAAAGTGTTTAAGTAGCTTAGTACCCAGTGATCTCCATGCAGTCACACTCTATGGTGAATTCTAAGTTTTTCCCTTCCTGACCTATCAGCACTGTTTAACACAGTTATCACTTCTTCCTCCTTTCTTCACCTAGCTTAAAGGACATCACAGTTGTCCTCCTTTCTTCTGGGCTTCTCCTTTTCTGGCTACTTTGTTAGTTCCTCTTCATTTTCCCAACCTCTAAATCACAACATAAACAGCTGCAATATGGTCTCCAAGGGATGAGAAAAAGTTTTAGAGGATAAAAATGTCTTACTCTTTTTATTTATTTTATGTGTATGAGTGTTTTCCCTGCATGTATTTAAGTGAACCCATGTGTGCAATGCCCTTGGGGGTCAGAAAAGGGTGTCAGATTCCCCTGGAACTGGAGTTATGGACAGTTGTTAGCCGCCATGTCTTACTCATTTTATGTATAAAATACAAACAATAGAGGACATAAACAGAAATGTGCCTACACGTGCGCGCGCGCGCGCGCACACACACACACAGACACACACACACACACACACACACACACACACACACACACACATTGTGTTTGCAGTGCTAAAATCCCATGAGGACAGTGAGTGACTAGGGGAGAAAATGTGTAAAATGGCTCCTAGAGAGGTAGAGAAGGACTGACAGTAATAAAAATCAGTGCTTAACGTGACGGAGATGCTCCCCAGGCCTCAGTGCCTGTACCTGTCTCCCCAACCTACACTTGCTTGATCATCTCATGGTTTTGGATATTATGTTAACAACTTCCACATGGATCTCAATAACACTAAACTTCTCTAAACATGAACTCACATATGTTCCCATCTCAAATCTTGATCTAAACATCTATTCTGCATTTCAAATAGAGTATTTTTTAAAGCCAAACTCTGAAACATTAAGCTTCCCTACACCCTGCAAACTTGCTGCTCCCAGGCTCTTCTATTTTGACAAACAGGAACTCCAAGCTACGTGTGATGGTGCACACCTTTAATCATAACACTAGAGATGCAGAGGCAGGTGGATCTCTGTGAGTTTGAGGTCAGCCTGGTCTACAAACTGAATTCTAGGACAGTGATGGCTACACAGTGAGAATCTGTCTCAAAAATCAAAATCAAAACAAAACAAAAAGCAACTCCATTATTCCTATTGCCCAGGCCCTTGTCCCTTCACTTACCCTGCTTCCCCACAGGCTCATTTAATGCTCCACAAACTAATGTTTGTGCTCTTCCTGGAAGGTTATTCTCTTAGACATCACATGCTTCCCTCAGTCTCTGCTCAAGTGTCACTTTGAAGTGAGACTTTCTACTGTCCTTTATTTCTCTTCAGAGCACTTGACTCTGCCTGACACAGATTTGTTTTCTTTCTCATGTAACCAGACTGTAAGCTCTAAAGGAGCAAAGGTTTTCTTTGTTCAGTGCCGATATGTCATAGATCCTTAAACATTTATTGAATGAATGAGTAAATTACACTGAAGTCTTCCTTACACAAATCATTCTCAATTTACATTAGTACAATTATTGACATGAATGAATAGCAGCATAACATTACCTTCTCATATTAAACATCTTTAAAATGCCATCTGACTGTTGGTCACTTCTGTCTACCAACATTCAGAAATTTTAAACTTATAACCTCAGTATCTTACTTACTTGACAGTGGCAACTGACTTTGATCACAAGTGTCAGCTACTAGAATTTCATTTTCCTTAGAGTTATATGGTACAGGAGCTGAAGCCTTGGAAACATTTAATTCTAAGAGAAAAAAAGAAAAAGGTTACATAATAAATAATGATAAAAAGATTATCAAATTATTATTTTGTTAAGACAATATAAACTTGTCTTTAATGCATTATAAAGACTATTTTATTGGCATAATGCTCATATTTTAGGAAGTTTCTTTAGCGCCTTGAGAAACAAAGCTGCAAGCTAGGGCAGCGGGAGAGAGGACTTGAACACATTGGTTTCTTTGGACCTAAGCAGTGACAGCTTAGTGCTGCCTTTCCTTGTCTGTTAAAAAAGCACCAAGTATGGGGCTAGAGAGATGGCTCAGCAGTTAAGAGCACTGGCTGCTCTTACAGAAGACACAGGTTTGAATTGCAGCACTTATGTGGCAGTTAACAACTGTCTGTAACTGCAGGTCCAGGGGATCTGATGCTCTCTTCTGTTGTCCTTGGGCAATGAACAACATGGGAGCACTTACATACATACAGGCAATGCACTCAAATACACAAAATATATAAATCAAAAAGTTTTTTTAAAAGGACCAAGTTTACTGAAAATGTGTAAATATTATACCTTCAAAATTTTTTCTAAAAGGATACCTGAAACATGCTTTATCAGAAACATTTCTATTTCAGAAGTACTTTGGTCAAAAAAAATCAAAAGGTCAAAGGAAAGAGAAACAGAACTTTAAAATACTTTACGTGGTTCAAAAATTAGCTTACATCTCAAAAATTTCACTTTTTAAATAAAAAATGAATAGAATAAGATTAAAACAAATTAAGTTTAAAGTATTTATACCCATTAAGAAATAAATCAGAAACATTTATGATTACAAGACTTTACTAATAAAACTGTCAGTTATTTTCTGTACATTCATATATATGGATTTAAATATGATCTAATTATATAGATAATTATCTACAATGACTCATATCTTGCCTGATAGCAAACTTAAAGACCAATGAATATGCATTTAAGATGCAGGCTCTCATATTTTAACTTCTAATTAAAAAATTTAAAAACATTTCTTCTGTCTTCCACTAGATGGTGATAAAAACTCACAAAATAGGAAAAACTGCCAGTTTTTTACTTTCAAATGAAGATCTTATTTGAAAAGCATAGCTACTATCAACAATGTATACATATTATACAAATATCTCTAAAACTTATTAAACCTCCTTCTCCAAATGTTATGCCTGTTTCAAATAGTTTAGGTTAAAATTAGTCCTTGCCATTTTATTTTAGATGAATAGTAAAATAACCATAGTATCATGTAAAATAATAAATTACAGGATTGGAAAGCATTTAGCAGAAACAATAAACTGGGTTGGAATTAGAACTATGCTCCACAAAGTGTATGCATTAACAGATCAGTTTTTGCACATGCACCCACACACACATCACACACACATGCCAGTAACAATAAAAATCATTTCTTGATTATCATAAACTGCTACAAATAATAAAACAAATAAAAATAGCCCAATTACCGATAGCTCCAATAGCAGGACATCTGTGGACAAGCCCTGGAAAGTACAGATGCTTAGAGCTAAGAAGATGTGTACTTAGATTTTGATTCTACCTACTTGACAGTTGATTTCAAATGAGTTTTTAACCTCTTTCAGTATAAATCATTTATAAAACAATGAGCTATCAGCTTCCTAATAAGTCTTTTAGAAAGAATAATATATAATGATGTGTGAAAATCACTGAGCATATTAATACCTATCACATAGGAAGCAGAAAAATTAATATTAAATTCCTTTCATTTTTCCTTCCATGCCACTCAGATATGTACACATAAGAATATTTTAAAAATAAATAGAAAAAAGGAAAGGGGGACTAGGGATAGTGTTGGTGTTTGAGAGCTTACTGCTCTTGCAGAGGACCTGGGTTCCATTCCCAGCACCCACACAGTGCCTCACACCACCTGTATCTCCAGTTCCAGGGGATCCGATGCCCTCTTCTGACCTCTGAAAGCTATTGTACATATATGCACTCAGGTACACACATTTACACATAAAACTTTTTTTTAAATCTTTAAAAAAGGAAAGGAAATGATGGGTATGGTGCTGGAGAGATGGTTCAGTGGTTAAGGGCACTGGCTGTTCTTGCAGAAGACCTGGGTTCAAATCCCAGGACCCAGAACATGGAGCCTAATAACTCCAGTTCCAGGGATCTGATGCCCTCCAAGGGCACTGTACAATATTGGTACGCTTGCATGCATGCAGATATAGCATTCATACACATAAAATAAAAATAATTAAAAAAAATGCTGGGTACATATTCAGATAAACAACACGTCTGTACTTAACACAGGCAGAAAACACATTTTCAGTGACTTTACTAATGGAAGTTAAATTCATGGTGGTACTACTGGTTCCTTGAACAATGCCCTATCTTCCTTCCACCAAACTGAGTCATATAAAATCAATATGAAAATACTTTTTTACCAAGCCAGGTAATTAAAATACAGGTCTGATTCTTACCATTTGTACATACAGAGTGTGTTTGTTCTATGTATCGAACGTGGAGATTCTCCTTTCTTCGTAGCCGGTTAATGCCAGAAAATGAAAAGGCTGTTATTGGTGAATCTGGAATGACATTTTCTTCACACTCAAGTTCAGCTACTTGATCCTGTTGATCATTTCTAGAGCAAAATCACAATTAAAAGAAAATGAATTCTGCAAATATTTACTAAAATATCTACTAAATAATGTGTGACCCGAGTAGAAAGATGTAAGTGAAGTTATCCCTGGCATCTAATGCTCCAAATTCAAGGATTAAAGAAGGATGCAAATGAGTTACTACCAAGTGGGGAATGTTGTGGGAACTGAATAGAAAGCAGATTGTGAGGTGGGCATGGTGCTGCATGCCTTTAATCCCAGCACTGGGAGGCAGAGGCAGGTGGATCTCTCTGAGTTTGAGGCCAGCCTGGTTACATAGCGAGTGCTAGGTCAGTCAGCCAGATGGGGCTACATGTGTCTCAAAAAGACTGGAAAAAAAAAGCAGATTGTAGCATCTGAGGTAAACTTCAAAGTATTTCAAATGGCAAAGAATCCACACAGCTTGAGTAAAGGCATGCAGAAGTGTATGCTTGTGTTAAGTAGGGGCATGCTAGAATTATGGGACACCTTGAGTAAATGTGTCCATACTGAAGAAGAAAAGGAATTAAGGTTTTAAAGCATAGCAGGAATATTTCAGTTTAACAGTAGCATAGATAGCTGATGGGGACAGGAAGAGAGGAGGAGGGGGGTCACTTAGACAGTAGCTATAATGGAGCAGACACAAGCTTCTGTGGTTTGAACTATAATACTTAAGTATGAATGGAAAGGAAGCAACCAATGTTAACAATGGGATATACTCAACATGACTTGGCAAATGACGAAAAGTACAATAATACTGACCCTGCTAACTATCAATTTTTGTTGTGTTTACATTGCCAGAAACTATTCAAAGTGCTATGTGTTTGACTTTAATTATTACAACTGTGTAAAATACTATGATTCTCATTTTGCAGTTAGGAAATGAAGAAATAAAAGTCACTTACTATAACAGTAAGAGAGCCAGGACTCAAATTTTGGGACAGACTCTAGGGGCTAGTTATCAATAACCCTGCAGTGTGTTATCCTTGGTATACAGATCATGAGTCTACTACAGTAGGCTAAAAAACTTGAGCTTCCATCACTGCTCCTTATTAAGGCCTGCTTACCATCTACCCTTGACACAGCAGTTACAACAGTCTCATTAAACTCAAGTCATATCAATTGAATCTGATGACAACACTGCCCCACCTTCCCATTTCACTGAGAATACAAGCCAAAGTCCTGTGAATAATCTACAAGAACCTGCATGATCTGCAAACAGCTCCCCCCTTCCCCCCGCAGCCACTCTCTTCCCTGAAGTTCATCAAACAAACACGCTTTGCACTGGCTGTTCAACTGCTTGGAATGCCCTTGCCTACATGGCTGACTACCTCATATCCTTTCATGCCTTTGCTGGAATTTTACTTTTCTTCATTAATTATTAATCTAACTATGTAGCCCAGGCTGGTCTCAAGCTTGCTATCCTCCTGCCTCAGCCTCCTGAGTCCTGGGATTATGGGCATCCTCTACTAGGCCAGGCCTTTGCTGGTACTATGATGTTTAAAATTGCAACCCCCTTTTCATATCTCAGTTTCCTTCCTGTTCCTTGTTAGTCTGTTCTACTCACTTTATCCATTGTAAATATGCTAACAAAGTATGCAATTTATTATGTTTACTCTTCACCAATTATTTTGCAAGATTTAAAAATGAATGATGAATCACAAACGTCTCAAAGAATACACATGTCATAGGTACTACATAAACATTTTTTAAATGAATGAAAGTGATATTCTCAAGCTCCACTGAAAAAATAATTGTGCTGATCTAGGCATATGTTTTTGCCTAACTCAATTCAGGACCAATGAAACCTAGAAAAATGAGTTTGGATTGAACTGTATTACTTAACATCCTAAGTCAAACCATTATTGATTTTTTTTTTTTTCGGCTAGCAAATAACAGTATTTTGTCATTCAATTTTTCAACTAGTCATATTATATGCAACTACTATATGCAAATAATACAACTTCAAAGAACTACATTATAAAAATCATAAATTATGTTCAGCAGAGATTTTTTTGTGTGTGTGTCTTTTTGAGACAGGGTCTCCCTGTAGCCCCAGCAGACCTGGAACTCACTATGCAGACCAGGCTGGCCTTGAACTCACAGAGATCCACCTGCCTCTGCCTCCCGAGTGCCGGGATTAAAGGCATCTGCTACCACGCCTGACTTCAACAGAGATTTTTAAAAATCAGTATGGGGTGGTAAGATGACTCAGTAAGGGAGTTGTTATGCAAGCCTGGTGACCTGAGTTAATACCCAGAACCCACATAAAGTTGAAAAAGGTAAGGACTGATTCCACAAGGTTGTCCTCTGACCTCCACATGTATGCCATGGCACATCCATTCATTCATTCTGTCTGTCTGTCTCTCTCCCATAGAAGATAAAGACAAATGTTACCTAACAAAGATTTAAACTCTAATTTCCTGGATAATATCAATTATTACTGATGCATAATTCTATTTCTTATGATAAAGGACAATCTTAGAGCTAATATGTAATCTTTAAATTATTTTCTAATTGGCAAATAATGATTATGTATATATATATGAAAATATGGGGTATAATGTGATTTTTGATATATGGTTATACTGGGAAATGATTAAATCAAGTTAATAAATTCATCACTTCACAAAATTATTTTATAAGGTAAAAAATTGAAAAAAATCTACCTTTCTCAAATTTTAAATATTCAATGTATTATTGTTTTAGTCACCATACTGTGCAATATATTTAGCACTTAATTTTTAGTCTCTTAATTCTATTCTTCCTCTATAAAAACACAGTAAGCTCAAGTTATATGAGAAAGCCTTACAAATTAATGGAGTGTAAAATCTACGTGACCTAGCTCAAACTAATCATATCACAGTTTCTTATTAGTCATAAAATTTCAACCTAAAGCATGAATGAGTCATGACCAGAAATCATTTCCTGGCAGAGTCTATTTACATGGAGCTAGGAATCACAGAAGAAGAAAAATTCCCCCAAACACAAACATAAACTCGCTCCATCCAGAAGTGTCTGCACTAAGCAAACAGGCCCTAGCTGTGTCCTTGGTCATAAACCTTGGTTGTAAACCTTTGTCATAAAAGGCAGGTTCAGGGGAGGAATACAATTTCTGTGTCTTAACCAGGTTTATTCTCTAGGTTTCACTCTAATTGTCCTAGCTATTTTCAAATTACGCATGCCAGCTGTCTTCCGGCTTTGCCTTCTGACAACCTGAGAGCATTTTTGTGGTTTTATTTCTAGTTCTCTTGAAATTCCTGCTGAACCGTTTTAGTTGTCCTTTTTCTCAATGATCTATAAGGATCCAGCATTTCATTTCATAAAGAGTTCACTAAAAAGTTTTTAAACATTCAGCTTATCTCCTTTACTCTGAAGAATTTATGTTTCCAGTTAAAACATAATTTAAACCCACTAAAGCAATGTCATAGCCAGAAGCTCATATTTAGAAGTTCTGATTTTCACTGGGTGCTGGCACATGCCTTCAATCTCTGCACTGAGAGGCAGGGGCAAGTGGATCTCTGTGACATGGAGGCCAGGCATCTCAAATTTCCAAGCCAGCTGGAGCTACTAGAGAGACAGTCTCAAAAACATAAACAAAAATAATAAAAGTTCTGATTTTCAAAAAAAAAAAATTATCTAAAGTAAAAATAGCCTGATTCCTAGAACCAATGTTTATTTCACAAATAATTCAAATAAAATGAAATTTTAAATGTAGGTTATTATACCAATGTTTTGAGGAATGCTTTTTGTGTATCTTGCTCTCAGGAAGGCCATCTGAAAAGGATTCTCTTGATATCCTTTCATACAACAACAAAACAACAAACAGCAACCCACCCCCAAGGAAATACAAACTTGTTATCAACACAGACTCCTTTCACCAATTATTATTAGAAGTAACATGCTTCAGGCCTTCAACCTCAGGCATGCTTTATGTAACATTAATGACCTTGATGCAAGGCACTGATGGGAGGCAAACCAACTTGTGAAAGACACAAGTGAAGGAGAGTAAAAGCTAACCTAGTATGTATCAGTGAAAAAAGCAGTATATGAGAGCCCCTACCTCCAAGCCTAGGCAAACCTAGTAAACTGCGACAGAACATGTGAATACATGCTAGCAGACTAGCAAGAAGGTCAGCTGGTAAAGTTGTTTGTTGTCAGGCCTAATGACCTGAGTTTGATCCCTGAGACCCACATAGTGGAGAGAAATCAACTTTTGGTTTTGGTAATGGCGTTTGCCATAGCAATACAAAGTAAGTAGAACAGAAGTCTGTGTTCTACCTTCATCACGGAACATGAGTAAAATAAAAAGTGTCCACATTTTCAAATACTTTTTATAGACACAGTTTTTCCTCCAGAGCCTCTTTCCTCAGTGAACTGAACACATGGGAAGAATCACACTCTACAGAATATCCATTACCTAAAAGCAAACTGTTAAGAATAATTCCACCTTTGAGACACACATAAACAGTGCCTCACAGCAATGTGACATCTGGAATAGTCTACTGCAGATATCTACTTAGATGCAACAAGATCTTTAAGAATTCTATAACACCAGGAGGACTAGCCTCAATCCAAAAGTTTTAAAGTAGTACTACAAGAGGTAGTTGTCCTGGTGTGCCTGTAATCCCAATGACCTGGTAGGTTAGAGGATTTCTTGAGACCACAATTTCAAGGCCGACTGAATAACAAACATAGTAAGATTCCATTTCAAAACAAAACCTAAACAGCAGGAAACAGGATTAAAAAAACCAACACAATCTTTATTTAAATTGTAACTAAGAACTAAGCCCTATCTCTACCCTGAATTTGTCAGAGCATATCAGAAGAACAAACTCTTTTTTAATATACATATTTTTTAAGGATCCAGTTTTTTTTTTTTAAATGTATATGAGTGTATTGTCTGCATGTATGTAAGTGTACCTGTGTCGAGCAATGCCCGTGGAGGTCAGAAGAAAGTGTCAGATCCCCTGGAACTGGAGTTATAGACAGCTGTTAGCTGCCATGTGGGTTCTGGGAATCGAACCTAGGTTCAAGAGCAGTCAGTGAGTGCTCTTAACCTCTCTCTCTCCAGCCCCTTTTTCTAGTATTTTTGAGACAGTGTTACATAATGAATAGAAGGAACAGAAACGTTCAGGTCAGAAAAATGGGTTTGACTGATTGTCATCTTACTTACTAGATATGAAAGCACAATAAGTTATTTGACTTTATGAGCTTTGGTTCCCTCATTTTTAAAATAGGGATAATAAAACTATTCTCTGTCAAATCCTAGTAAGGATTCAAATACAAAACAGAGAAGAGTAGGATAAAAGTTGTTATTTTTATTCTTACAGAGAGAGAGTAGAAGAGACAAGAACAGAAGAGGGAAGTAGTTTCATTCACTTAAAAATTCTGTAAGAGGTGGCTGGAGAGATGGCTCAGCAGTTAAGAGCACTGGCTGCTCTTTCAGAGGACTTGGGTTTGATACCCGGCACCCATATGGCGGCTAACAACTGTTTGTAACTCCAGTTCCAGGGGAATCCCACACCTTCATCTGATCTCCACAGGCATTGCATGAAACAGGTACACCTACCTATGTGCAGGCAAAACACTCATAAACATAAACTCAGAGGAAACATTTCCTCCATGCTTCCAAGTGAAGTCATCCAAGTGAAGCTAGACATGGTCTAGTAGGACCTTTGACTTATCGTCACATAGATGGAACTGGTAAAAGAAAGGAGCCAGGAGCTCCCCCCAGGCCCATGTGACCCCTGAGGAACAGATCCTCAAATGACCTTAAGAGTAAAAATTAATTGATTTAATTGGGCCAACTGTATAATCTTAAATACCCAAAAGGAAAGTATAACCAAAGAGTAAAGTGATCAGTATATTTCTTTAAGAGTTCAAATGATCACATTTTCCAGACATTAGGCTTAAGTCCATATAAAATGTTATTTAGACAATTATTTCTTATTGATGATTTTGTTCCTAACCAGAAAGTGCTGCTCAGATGTAAGACTTCAAATCTTGGTCTCCAATACTGTAGTGCCCACCTGTAGCTAAGGGAGACAACCTGCTATTATTGTAAAATGATGGCCAAATTTGTTTTCTTCCCCTATCTAGAAGCCTTTGAAAGTGAACTGACACTGATTCTAACCACTCCAACCGCTATCAAAATGCCTGAAAGCAAATCCTGAACCCCTCACTCTCGGGTCCAGCCTTGGCACACAAAAGAAAAATGAGGAGGAACCCAACAGAGGGATGCTTTTGGAAGCTCTTGTCAAGAACTCCCAAAGGACTCTGATATGAACATTTGAAATTTGCCCTGTTCTGACTTTTTTCTGGTTCCCTGTCTAAAACTTGTAATGCTAACTACTCTTGCCTTTACTTCTCCTTCACATCTCCTATTCATGATTCAAGGACTTTCTTTTCCCCTTAGAGA